CATAGGCAGAACACTCTATGACATAAATCACAGCAAGATCCTTTTTGACCCACCTCCTAGAGAAATGGAAATAAAAACAAACAAATGGGACCTAATGAGACTTAAAAGATTTTGCAAAGCAAAGGAAACTACAAACAAGGCAAAAAGACAACTCTCAAAATATTTGCAAATGAATCAACGGACAAAGGATTAATCTCCAAAATACATAAACAGCTCATGCAGCTCAATATTAAAAAACAACCCAATCCAAAAATGGGCAGAAGACCTAAATAGACATTTTTCCAAAGAAGACATACAGATGGCCAACAAATACATGAAAGAATACTCAACATCATTAATCATTAGAGAAATGCAAATCAAAACTACAATGAGATATCATCTCCCACCGGTCAGAATGGCCATCATCAAAAAATCTAGAAACAATAAATGCTGGAGAGGGTGTGGAGAAAAGGGAACACTCTTGCACTGCTGGTGGGAATGTGTATTGGTACAGCCACTATGGAGAACAGTATGGAGGTTCCTTAAAAAACTACAAATAGAACTACCATATGACCCAGCAATCCCACTACTGGGCATATACCCTGAGAAAACCATAATTCAAAAAGAGTCATGTACCAAAATGTTCATTGCAGCTCTATTTACAATAGCCAGGACATGGAAACAACCTAAGTGTCCATCATCGGGTGAATGGATAAAGAAGATGTGGCACATATATACAATGGAATATTAGCCATAAAAAGAAACGAAATTGAGCTATTTGTAATGAGGTGGATGGACCTAGAGTCTGTCATACAGAGTGAAGTAAGTCAGAAAGAGAAAGACAAATACCGTATGCTAACATGCTAAATGCCATGAAGAACCTAGGGATAAGACAGGAATAAAGACACAGACATACTAGAGAATGGACTTGAGGATATGGGGAAAGGGAAGGGTAAGCTGAGACAAAGTGAGAGAGTGGCATGGACATATATACACTACCAAATGTAAGGTAGATAGCTAGTGGGAAGCAGCCGCATAGCACAGGGAGACCTGCTCGGTGCTTTGTGACCACCTAGGGGGGTGGGATAGGGAGGGTGGGAGGGAGGGAGACGCAAGAGGGAAGAGATATGGGAACGTATGTATATGTATAACTGATTCACTTTGTTATAAAGCAGAAACTAACACACCATTGTAAAGCAATTATACTCCAATAAAGATGTAAAAAAAATAAAATAAAATAAAGAAAAATAAAGTTACTTGAGAAACACCCAGTACCAGAAGAACGCTCTGACCCTACGTTGTCCCACTGAAAGCAAGAAGCAAGAGTCCCATGGGAAGGTATCCCCGCTATGTGGGGAGGATTGGAGGGCACCCTTATCGCCAAAGATGGGGGGATTTTGAGTCTGAGAAAGGGGCATAAAAAAACTTTGTTACTTCTTCATTAATATGATACTCCAAGCAAAAATCCCTCTGTTTTATCAAATCTTCTCAAATAACACATTCTTTGCCTAAACAGGTTTGTAGACAGCCATCTCTGGTCACTTCTTAGGTCCTATACCTGTGGGGCCTCCGTATCTACAAAATTAAATTGGTTTCTTTTCCTTCTGTTAATCCATCTCACATCAACTAGATTAGACCAGCCAAAGGAACCTAAGAGGGTAGAGGAAGTCTTTTCCTCCCCTACAACATCCACAAAGAGAATCAAAGGGACACCCTAAAACAGAAAAACAAAACACCTGAAAGTGAAAAACTCACTGGATGGGCTTAACAGCCAACCAGATGCAGGAAAAACAGAATAGAAAACCTGAAGACAGGTATACAGAAAATATCCAAACTGACACCCAGAGAAAGAAAAACAAAGCAACGAACCGACCTGGGAAGAGGGGATGCGCAGGTCAGAGTCCAATATCTGGCCTCCGTGTAACCGGAGTCCTAGAAGGAGAGACAGAGAGATGGACAGAGCCGATCTCTGAAGAGAGAATGGCAGAGACGACAATTTTTCAGGATGAGCTTGGGCCATCGGCCCACAACCCAGAAAGTTCAGTGCAGCAGGTCCAAAGAAAAACTCACACAAGGAAGACCAATCTCAGACGTACCACAGCTGAACCGTGGAAAGTGATTTTTAGTAAGTGAAAATCTGAACATCAGCCAGAGGAAAGCCAGGCCGTACCTTTAGGCAGCCACACCCCAGCCATGTCTGCTGTTCCCACAAAACCAGAAGAAACAGAAAACCTCACGGACAATCACTTCCAAACGCTGTAGAAAGAAGACACCTATCACCAAGACTTCTCTTCTAAGGAAGGGAAAATACGCTCCAGACATGAAGGTAAATGAATATGGCTCGACACAAAAACAGTTCGGCTGTCGCCTTACCAGCAGATCCCACTACAAGGCATGTTTAATGCACATCGCATTTAGAAATAAAACATTTGACAACAAGAGCCCCACGCAGAGGGGGTAACAGAAGTGAGGTGTGGAAACAGCTCCATTAGTATCAGCCAGTGTAGACTTCAAGGCAAAGAGTAGCGCGAGAGTTAAAGGCAGATGGAGATTTCACATCCATAAGGGATTTTTGGAACTCACTCAGAGTACCTTTCCTGACTACAGTGGCGTTAAGCAGAAACCAGTCGCTTCACGTGTTCGGACATCATAAAGCCTCCACACCCCATCGCTCCCAGGAGAAAACAAAAAAGATTTGGGGCAGCACAATGATTAAAATATTCCAAAACAAAACCGGACCTAAACAGCCTCAAGGCCTGGCAGGAAAGGCAGGGAGGCCAAGCACACATCAGAAAGGCAGAGAGGCTGAAGCCCAAGGATCTTATTTTCCATCTCAAAAGCCGGGAAAGTGACAGCAAATTCAACCCAGAACAAAGGGCCTCAAAAAAGACACAACCGAAGCTGGGATGGGGAGGGGCCGCTTCGTGGGAAGTTGGAGGTGCCTGTACCCAGGGGAGGGGCGGCTAGGGGGGTAGGCAAAGACCAGACACCCCATGGGTGGGCATGCTTTGGGGTTCGGATGGCTGACTGGCGCCCGAGGGATCCCGGAACCTTGCTCGAGGGGGTAGGGCCGAACCTCAGGACCGGCAAAAGCTGACCTGAGGCCGAGTCCGAGCCTGCTACACGGCGCCCACCACCCGTGACCTGCCCAACCTTCTAGAACCTTCAATGCTCCCCGTGTCCTGCCCGGACCCTCTGGAACCTTCCCCGCCCCTGCCATCCCCGTGTCCTGCCCAGACCTTTTGGAACCTTCCTCGGGACCCTGTGTCCTGCGAAGACCTTCTGGAACCTTCCCAGCCTGCGTTCTGCTCAGACCTTCAGACCCTCCCTGTGGCCACCTTTCCTGCCCAGACTTATGGGACATTTTCCGCCCGCCCGGCTTGCTCGGCCTCAGCACAGGAGGAAGTCTGCAGAGGGGCTGCCAGGCTGGGCGGTCTGGGAGGCACCAGGACTTCAGCGCAAGTTCCGGAGCCTGGGGTGCTGGTGCATCAGGGGGCAGCTGCCTCTGCAGTTCCTCGGGGCAGGGCTCGGCTTTGGGCTGACCTGTACGTCCAGCACCCTGCGGCAGACTGTGTAAGGACGGGGAAAGCTGGCACACGGCAGAGCCCCGACAGCCCCAAGGGCAGACCAGGAGAGGCTGGGAGGGGCCGCAGGGTGGAAGAACGGGCAGCAGGAGGCTGGCCAGCGTGGCCCGGGCCGATGCGCCAGCACAGCAAGGGCAGGCTGCGTCTCCTCGGCCCAAGGACAGCTCTTACACCATCTGGGGCTGAGGCACGTCGTACATCTCAGCTTGACGAGGGGCCTTGGCGGTTTTGACTCATTGCCCCAGCCGAATATTCCCCGAGGAAGTGTCAGGAGCAGGGAACGGATTGAAGTAGAATGACCAGTAACATCAGGTCGTCAGCCACCCTGCTAACCCCACACATACCCTCCGTCCTGCCCCCAGAGCCTGCGCTGCGGTGGCCTCACCGCCTCACCCCCATGTCAGGGTCAGGGCGCTGGGGCCTCTCTGGCACACCGGGCGGGACGGGGGGCCTTGGGAGGTGACAGAAGCTCCGGGCGTCAGTAGCCTGTTGAGGAAATGGGAACGGCGACAGTGCTACCCACCTCACGGGAAGGCTGCCAGGCATGGTTGAGACGAGTCGGGGCCCCAAACCATGGACCCCCTCTTAGGGGTGGCTCCGGCTGCGTGCTTGCTGGCCAGGGTCCCTGGGAGAGGGGGGAGTCCACAACCACACCCCCGTCATAGACTCTGCCCACGCCGGGAGCACGGGTTCCGGGGGGAAAGGAGGCTGTGGGCCCCGAGCACAGGCCCCGTGGGGGGAGGCGGGGACCTTTCACCCTCCTGCCTGAGGAGGGGCTTGCAGTCCAGCCCCCCAGTGACCCTGTCTTCTAGGTGCTCTCTGCTCCTCAGTGGGACCAGCAAGCCCAGACAGACAGGGCATCGGCCACATCAGTGCCCTGGCAGTCCCAGTGCCACCGCCAGTGGCGTCTTTGCATCCCCCTCTCTGCCCCCGTGAGACTGGGAGACCCCCTTGCTGGCTCCTGCCTCCACTCCCTGGACCCAGCACAGGGCCTGGGGAAGAGTGGACAAAACACATGCGGCCTCAAGAAATTAGAGCAAAGCCCTCAGCACTGCTTCCCACTCTGGTCCTTGTAGAAAAGGGATGAAAATACCCAAGGTCCCCTTTCATCCCTTGCTAAGATAAGGCACCTATCCATCTTGCATCTTTCCCTCACTGGATGGGGAGGGAGGCCTCTTTCCCTCAGCCCCACCCCATCGGGTCCCTGCTCCAGACCCTGTCCCTGCTCTCAACAGCCACCCCCGAGCAGGCCTGCGTCACTGCCGGACTCGGCGCCCGTCCGTCTCTTTCCTCCCCCGCTGGAGGCCTCCAGCCCTGACCGCTGCCCCGGGTTTCCTGGTCTGGCCCAGGGACACTTTCTCCTCTGACGCGATCCAGTCGGCCGGTCCAGCGAGCCAGGGGAGATAAAAGGATGGGGCTGAAGGGGGCGGGGGTGCAGCAGGATGGCGCTGTGGGCAAAGGCCAGAGTGTGGATGGCAGGGCCCTGGCTGTCCCTGCACAGGGCACGCACACTGGGCACCAGAGCCACTCCAACCCCCAAGGCGGTGCTGCCCTTCGAAGCCGTGCCCCGGTGTCCCGGACACAGGTGGATGCGGGTGCTTCAGATCTGGAAGGAGCAGGGCTCTGAGAACATACACCTGGACATGCATCAGACCTTCCAGGAGCTGGGGCCCATTTTCAGGTAAAGCTCTCCCTGCCCACCTCGGCGAGAGCACCCTAACTTTCTGTCCCTACTGGCAGCTGAGTCCCTGCTAGGCGCAGGGGCGCCTGGGGAGTGGGGGTGAGGGGCAGGGAGGGGAATCAGCGGGGCAGGTCTGGGGCTGCTGCAGACTGGGGCCTTCTTGAGTGCGGGGCCGTGCGTGGCTCGCGGCTGGGAGCACAGAACGCAGACCCCAGAGGAGGGGAGGCTTCAGTGAGGCGGCGGGAGGGACCGCCCGCTCCGGGCCAGCGGCAGACTGGTTCTGCAGAGTGGGGTCCCAGGGAGGACACGGCGCCACGGCAGGGCTGGGAGCTTTGTCCCACAGGTATGACGTGGGAGGGAGACACATGGTGTTTGTGATGCTGCCCGAGGACGTGGAGCGGCTGCAGCAGGTGGAGAGCCCTCACCCCCGGCGGATGTTCCTGGAGCCCTGGCTGGCCTACCGACAGGATCGTGGCCTCACGTGCGGCGTGTTCTTGCTGTGCGGGCGAGTGGGGATGCGCACGGAGGGGGCGGGCAGCCTGGGTGCAGAGAGGAAGCCAGCCAGGGAAGACCCCGAAGCGCGCCTGCCCGGGAACCATCCTGGTGGGTGGAGAGACGGTGACCACTGGCTCCAGATGCAGATCCTGCCCATCCCCTGGGGGTCGTGTGTGCCCTGGGGCGGGGGAGGGGAGCCCGGCCCCTTCCTGCAGGGCCAGAGGAAGAAGGATGATGCCTGCCGTCAGGGAGCCCGCACCTGCACAGGCCTCCGAGGCGCTTGCGTGTGGGTTGGACTTCTCCCCTCGTCCAGGTCAGGGCCCCCCTGGAGGCCCTGCAGGCAGCGCCCCGTCGGCGCCGGGCTCTGCGTGGGTGTATTAGGAGAGACACGACTTGATTCCTGCCACATTGCAGCAGGAGGCTCTGCAGGGAGGGGGTGGTGGGGCTGGCACAGAGGCAGCATCGCAGGAGCCGGGAGATGAAGGTCTCCAGGGGCCTCGCCCACTCTGGGGTGTGACGAGAGCAAAGCTGGGCCAGGCCTGCCTGGGGGCTCAGCCCCCTTCCTCACAGCAAAAGCCTCAGCCCCAGAGAGGGCCCGGGGGGTAGACGGGTGTGCCAGGCGCGGGGCCTGCCAGTTTGCACAAACCCCCGCAGCAGGCTCAGGCAGAGGCCCCCGTCTCCCCTGGGCGAAGCACACGAGGCTGCCCTGAGGAAGAGCTGCCGCCGAGGCCCAAACGCGGGCAGCCTGCCCCCTAGGAACCAACAGGCGGCTCCCCGCTTCACCCGCTTCCCTCTGGGGAAAGGAAGGTGGAGTACAGGGCCGCGGCCAGCTGCTGACTCTGGACGCCCTGATGCCCCGCTCCCTGCTCGACAGAAACGGACCCCAGTGGCGTTTGGACCGACTGCGGCTGAACCCAGACGTGCTGTCGCTGCAGGCTGTGCAGAAGTACACGCCCTTGGTGGATCGGGTGGCCAGGGATTTCTCCCGGGCCCTGAAGGCGAGGGTGGTGCAGAATGCCCGAGGGAGTCTGACCCTGGACATCAGGCCCAGCATCTTCCACTACGCCATTGAAGGTGTGGGCTCGCCACCGGAGCGGGCTGTGGCGGGGTCAGGGAGGGCCGGGGGCAGGTGGTTGTGAGGCTCTGCGCTGCCTTGGGCTCAGGAACCCCCTCCTCCCCGCAGCCAGCCACTTAGTCCTTTACGGAGAGCAGCTGGGCCTCTTTGCCCAGCACCCGAATCCTGACAGCCTGAACTTTATCCACGCTCTGGAGGCCATGTTCAAGTCCACCGTGCAGCTCATGTTCGTGCCCAGGAGCCTGTCTCGCTGGACGAGCGCCAGCGTGTGGAATGAGCACTTTGAGGCCTGGGACTACATCTTCCAGTACGGTGAGGGCGGGGGGTCGGGCAGTGCTGCGGCCAGGGACCCCAGGGCCCCCTCCACGCACCACAGTCTGGGGAGAACGGAGGCCACAGGAGGGACCTGTGGCTTCTTCATGGTCCGCAAGAGAGCTGGCAGTGAGGCTGGACTGGGCTGTTCCGAGAATGGGGGCAGGACACGGAGACCTGGGGGTATTGAGGGCTGAAGGGTAGGAGGATGACAAAAAAAGTGCTTCCCAGCACCAGACCCAGGGCCTCTGTCTCTGTGTGTCCCACAGCCAACAGAGCCATCCGGAGAATATATCAGGAGCTGGCCCTCGGCCACCCATGGCGCTACAGTGGCATCGTGGCGGAGCTGTTGATGCGGGCGGACATGACCCTGGACACCATCAAGGCCAACTCTATCGACCTCACTGCTGGGAGCGTGGACACGGTCAGGCCAGCGCCCAGCCCTTCCCATGGAACAGGGAGCCCTCCTGCCTCCAGGCTGCCCCCTCCCATGGCAAACGTCTCCTCCAAGCCCCTCCCCAGTCTACGGCTCCAGCTTCCCAACTGAGAAGGGGAAGCACGGGAGCCAGGCCTCAAAGGCAGGAGTCTGTGGTTACTCTCGTGGGAAGCCACGCTCCAGGCAGAGTGCAGAGTGGACGAGGCCCAGGGACATGCAGCAGCAGAGACCCTGGGGACTATCTAGGTCCTGGGGCGGGGGGGTGGGGGGGAAGGGCCAAGGCGCGGCTGGAGGCCCACACAGGGGACCTTTCCCGGGGACAGAGTACCTTTGGCTCTCACTCAAGATCCTTTGGCAGTGACAGACTGATGGGAGGGACAGCAAGGGGCTCCAGTGTGTGGGTGGGACAGCAGGTGGCTGGCAACACGGCACAGTGGGCAGGGTGGGCCCCGGGGTGTGAGCGCAGCCGAAGCTGCCTGTCTCTGGACCGAACCTGCATCCGCCAGCATCTCTGAGCGCCTGCTAGGCACCCAGGATCCTGAGCAGAGGCGCAGACCCCTGGTGCAGACACTCCCTGAGCAGGGGCTGTGATGCAACCACAAGGTGAGAGAGCCCAGGGCAGGGCCTGTGCCTCAGGAGGTAGCTCTGGGAAGCCTTCCTGGAGAAGGAGGCCTTTGCGCTGGGTGTGGAAGGACCACACAGAAGTTAGAAAGGCCAAGAAGAGGAGGCTGGGAGGGCAGCAGGCCAGGGCCTGCAAGAGCGGACAGCAAGGAAGGCTGTGAGGCTGAGCGGGGTGAACAGGGCACGTGGGCAGAGGAGGGCAGACAGGGTCAGGGCCCCTGTCAGGAGGGGCTTTGGGCACCAGGCCTGTATCCAAGGCTAGAGGGAGCCAGTGTAGGGAGTGTCTCGCTCAGACTCCTGCTCCCTCTCGGGCCACAGGGCAGAGCACGGACTAAAGCTGAGGGAGCAACAGGGAGCCGTATCTGCATATCAGGAGATGCCAGGGGCGTGCTGCCTTGGGGACGGCATTTAGGAGATATTCAGCCTCCCAGATCTCAGGCTGGGCTGGTGGACACCTCTCCCTGCACATGGAGATGATCCAGGAGTTGGACTCAGTTGGGGCCCGGGGTGGCTGGTTCATGTCAGGACCCCGTGTTCGGACCTGCCTGTGGCTGGCCAGGGAGGTGACCCACGGGGAGCGCGTGGCCCGGGGCTCCGGAACCCTCCCCGCTGAATAGATGGCAAGAGTGGGCACCTCCTGGGCCCAGAGGAGGGCGCGAGCCAGGCTCTGAAGCGGCTGCAGGAGGCCCGGGTCTTCTCTGAGGTTGGGGACACCCTCCCCGAGGGATTCAGGGGAAGCAGACAAGGTGGCTTCAGGATCTTGACGGTCAGCTCTCTGGGCTTTGTCATCTCCGGGCACGCAGGTCCCCTGCCCCAGGGGACGTCGGCCATCTTTCTGGGAGGGATGCCCTGGGGGTGGAGGGGCGCAGCCTGTGCCCGGGTCTGAGCCCTGGCCCTGTGGCTCCTGCAGACGGCCTTCCCCTTGTTGATGACTCTCTTTGAACTGGCTCGGAACCCGGAAGTGCAGCAGGCCCTGCGCCAGGAGAGCCTGGTGGCCGAGGCCAGGGTCTCAGAAAATCCCCAGAGGGCGACCACGGAGCTGCCCCTGCTGCGGGCGGCCCTCAAGGAGACCTTGAGGTAGGCGCGCTAGACCTGGGCTTCCCCCCCCGCGGCCCTGGCCCCACCCTCGGGACAGCCCGCTCGCCGAGGCTTGCAGGCAGATCCTGGGACTGCTGGTCAGCAGCTTGGCCCAAGGCTACATCCCCCTGCACCTCCTCTTCCTCTCCCTAAAGGGATGGGGGTGCTTCTTCCTCTGGGGTCCCACCTCAGTGTCCCGGGACCATCGTCAGTCGTGTCCTCATTGGCCGGGGGCTGCTCAGGCCGGGGCAGCTTTGGCTGACTCAGGAGAGGCAAGGAAGCAGCTCCTCGGGATTCGGGCTTCCCAGTGCCAGGAGCAAGCTGTGAGGGCGCTGGGGGAGCTGCCCTCGGGCCGTGGGCGCTGGGCTAGGGAGGCTGCAGAAGGGAAGCGAGGGCCCTGTCGCAGCTGAGGACCCTGTTGACCGCCCCTGTGCTCAGGCTGTACCCCGTGGGTGTCTTCTTGGAGCGACAGGTGAGCTCAGACGTGGTGCTGCAGAACTACCACATCCCGGCCGGGGTGAGTGAGGCCGCAGGGCTCCTCTGCCAGACACCCCGCCCTCTGACCTTCACCCACAGGGCATCTGACCCTGTCCCTCCCCACGTGTCTGCAGACATTGGTGAAGGTGCTACTGTACTCCCTGGGTCGAAACCCCGCCATGTTCACCAGGCCCGAGCGCTATCAGCCCCAGCGCTGGCTGGACAGCCGAGCCTCTGGTACCAGGTTCCCACACCTGGCCTTTGGCTTTGGCGTGCGCCAGTGCCTGGGGCGGCGCCTGGCAGAGGTGGAGATGCTGCTTCTGCTGCACCACGTGAGTGGGCCTGGATGGGGCCTGGGCGGGCAGCCTCGTCGGGAACCTCAGGCTTCTGCTCCTGGGGCACCCACCCTCAGGGCCCTGGAAGGCAGGGGAGGCCGGCCAGGCAGAACCCGCGCCTCTGTCCTAGGTGCTGAAAAACTTCCTGGTGGAGACGCTGGTGCAAGAGGACGTAAAGATGATCTACCGCTTCGTGTTGATGCCCTCTACCCTCCCCCTCCTCACCTTCCGGGCCATCAGCTAGTCACGTCGCCACTCGGTCGGGCTAGTCACACCACAAGCTCCCTCTGCCTGACCCCAGGCCACCCCTCTTTTCTCCCATGGGCCTTGCTTCCTGAGCCACACCACAGTCCAGGCAGCGCGTTGCACAAATGGAACAGCCCAGCCCTCTGAGGGTCCGGGCTTGCCAGCCTGTGCAGCAAGGCCCGAGCAGAGCTGGGGATGAAACTTGGTCGCAGGTCCTGGCCATGTGCCCGGTCCCACCAGGGCCCTGTCCTGCCAGGAGCACCGTCTGAGGGCCTTGGAGCCCCTGTTGCCCCAGCTCCAGGCTCCCTGTGTGTCCATCCAAGCAAAGGGGCCTCAGACGCCGCCCTTTGCTGCCCTGTCCAGTCTCTATGCCCTCTGTGCTAAACTCTGCCCCCATGCAAGAGATGACAACTTGGGCGTCCCCTGTCCTGCTCGGTACCATTTCCAATGCCATCCCTTTTGTCTGCAGTGCTCTGGCGTGGACTTGCCCTTCAAGCTGGGTTGCTAGCTGTCCATCTACCTGCTCCACTCAGCCCGCAGGGGCTCCTCCTGGCAGTGCCAGCCCTCTGGGATTGTGGCTGAAGTGCCCAGCCGAGAGCCTGCATAGGCAGGTCAGCAGTCATGTTTACTAGAAGGGTAGCTACCAAAGAGCCAACTTGGACATCTGGGTCAATGGTACGCATCGGACAGCAGGAGGGATGTTGACCGCCTCCGGCAGTCAGGGGCCACAGAGAAGCCTCTAGAGGAGGGCGTGGGGCCATCTCGTGCTCCCTTTAGCGGAGCCGGTCTGGAGGGCCCCACTGCCCTCGTGCAGTGCCCCGTGCCCCAGAGCAGAGCAGCCACCCTAACCTCATGGGTGGAAGAGGCTTTGAACAACTGAGAGCCAGCCGGGGTCCCCTAGTTGGCAGGAGCGTGTCTGTCCCATGCCACCTGAGGTCAGATGACACCCCCAGGAAGAAAGGGGGCCCAGAGGCAAGAGGGGGTGCTGGGGCCTCTCCACTCTCCCTCCCTCCCCACTCCCACCTCGTCTGGTGAGAAGCAGGCACTCAGTCACGGCGAGGCAATAGGGCAGGAGGAGTTGTGTTTCTGGCTGCACCGGCCCTGCTGGCACTGAGTCACCCCGACGGCATCTGTTCGGTGCCAAGATCCCTGGAGGAGAACAAGGGCTTGCACACCCCTCGCCACTCCACTCCACCCACGGCGGAAGAGGTCTGCTGCCACCAGTGGGTCTTCGCTTGCCCCAGTCTGGCACTGTGGAGGGGGACTTGGAGAACCATGGAGAAGAGAGGAGGTTCCAGACTCTGTGGTCGCACAGGCGCAAGCTGGAGCCCTGGCTTTCCCACATGGGCCCAGCCCTCAATCCCTCTGAGGCGCAAGCTTTTCCTCTGGGAATTCTGTATAATTACCATTGCAGCAGGCCTCAAGGGCACACAGGGAGACCGGTGCTCGGAAAGTACCCGGCTTTCTGGCTCGACCGGCACTGAATAAATGCGGATTTCTTTTCCCACTGCTCAGGAGTTGTCTCCTTGTTTGTGGCCCTGCTCTGTGGTGAGTGGATGGTGTGTGATGGCAGGAATGGAATGAAAACCTCGTTACCCTGGGGTCAAGGTGTGTCATTCTGCGAAGCTTGGCACGTGTGTTTGCTTGAGCTTCACGGCAGCCCTAAGAGGCACCCACTGTGCTCGTCCCCATTTTGCAGGCGAGGAAACTGAGTTCATTCACCTGCTAGAGTCTCACAGCGCATCCTTGGCAGGGGTACCACCGAAGCCAGGATGCCAATCCCATCTCTAAGGCCCTCAGCACATCTCCTTCCCGTTGAAGGACCTTGGCTTGGGAGTGATCATGCACATCTTGGAGACAATCTCCAATTTAAAGCATCTCTGGATACTTTCAAGATCGTCTCTTGGTTTTCCGTGTTTCTCCAGTTTTCCCGTATCAAGCCTATGTAGGAGTCTCTTTTTCCTTATCCTGCTTGGAATTTCCCATGCCTTTCCAGTGTGAGTGTCCATCTGGCTCTTTCTAAAAGTCTTCCAGGTTATCTCAACCGTCTACTGTGTAATCGTCATAATTCTTATGCCTCTTCACATCTTTCAAGGTAGAAATAGTATTGCCTTTAAGAAGCCCGATGCCAAGACCTGGAACATCTTCCATGTTCCGTGTGCCGCTGGGGCCTGGTTTGAGGCTGTGTCCTCCAGTTGCCCAAGGGTTATCACTTTCCCAGGGCCACTCTTTGTATTAATTACACAGCCTGAGGTTTCCTCTGAGGCACGAGTAACATAAATCCTAACCCACCGTGGGGGCCTGTTCTCAGTTCTCAGCGGGAGCGCATATCGCCCTCCATCCCAGCCTCAGGAAACTGGGCCTCTTCCTCGCCTCCCCACGGTGTTAGGCGGCAGGTTTCCAGGCTGCACCTTCAGCGTTGCTGTAGTGTTTTCAAAGTCTTGCCTTTCCGTGGGGTTCTGATTGCAATTTCTAATCTTACTCGTGTCCTAGGCCTCTCGTCTTTTCCCCCCACTAACTGGGGCCACCGGATCACTAGACTTGGTGCCTTGTGCCCAGCCCTCCCCTGATGGCCGCTGTGTACTGGCTTCTGTGCTCCCTCCTCCCTGGCCCAGGTCCCTCCTTGTTTCAGCATCCTGAAGAGGTCCTGTCCTTTCTGCCAGCCCAGAAATGCACTTTTGACATGTTTTTGATTCTGTAGAGCTACCGGAGTGGGAGGATTTTCAGAGCATCAGCTCCGTCCCTTTGCTCGAACCTGAAGACCTTCAGTGGCACATTTAAATAGGCAGTCGGTGGCTGCCCCGGGGGGAGGACCGGGCATCCCCATAATTGTCAATCAAATCTCTGCAAGATGTTTTTCTTGTGGAAAGAGTTGCCTGCCTTGCAGGAGCGGTCCTAGAATTACCGGTTGGTGGTTGTATGCGCTTGGTAGAATGTGGGACAATGGTAGGATTGCTAGCCAAAGTTTAAAATGGCTGTACCCGCTTTCATTCACCACCTTCTACGTGTCAGGCACTGTGCTATATGGTAGCGACAAAGACAAGTCCTTGACCTCAGTGGGATTATATCCTATGAGCCTAAGCTACAGAAATGGATACTTATTTCAATAATTTTCATAATGTCAAAAATGGACGCAATGTAATTTTCTTTCAGTAAAAGGATTGCTGATTTTCGGTGCGTCTGTTCATTAGAGGCCTAACCATCAGTGAAAAGAAAAAGTGAGGTCCGTGTGCGAGCACTTGTATAGGATGACAGCCACCAGGTGTTAACTAAAAAGGCAAGCCCCAGAGTTACACCGGGATGTGGATGGGCTCACACATTCTCGCAGATACACCCACAGCCCCAGACAGACACACAACCATAGTATAAACCTGTGTTCTACTGCATTTTAAGCGGCACATTAACGGTGAGGAGAAGTATCAGAAAGCCTCTGGAAATCAAAGGCAAGCGTCCAATAGATGTGTCGTGACAACACCATTAGATGTCAGAAAGCATCAGAACAATATACTCGCGGTGTGTAGGGAAATGGCCATCCACAGCGGATTTAAATCAGCTCAAAGTCCATTCAAGAATACTGGTTAAATGAAACATTTTCAAAGAGAAGGCGAGTGACAAAAGCAGTTCGCTAGTCACAGACCTTCACCAAAAGAGCTACCCAGAATTTGCTTCAACGGAAGGAACGTGGACCCTAGAGAGAAGATGTGGGATTTAAAGTGGGAGTGCGACACAGAAGCTGATACAACGCATGGCTACATTCGATTAATCACTGACTGTGGAGAGGCCCAAGGGCACAGATCCTGTGAGTGCGGGTGGATGAGCCCCGCAGGACTCAGCACTGAGGTACTTAGAGCATTTCCGGAGACGCTTCCCTGCTGTGATGTGCGCTCTTCCTCAGCTTTCGGAGCCAGCCCCTCCGAACCCCCAGCATGTGCCGAGGCCCTTTATCTCCAGCTCCGGACGCTCCCGGACAGGGCCAGGTGCCCTCAGCCTCGGGCTTCCCTGCTGGGAAGACTCAGGAGCCCCAGTCGCCTTTTTAGCGACAGCCGTGTGAGCTGGGAAAGCGGTGGGACTCCTGCTTCTGCAGGTTGCGCCCGAATCTGCAACGACACTAAAGGGACAATGGCAGCACAGTGACGCTAGAGTGGCTTTGACGCATCAACCACTGGCAGCCTGGAGCACTTATGCGCTACCTGATCCACATTCTGTATCCGTGCCGTCCAGGTGCGGCTGTGAGCGAGGGGCTGTCGCCATCCTGTCTTGTCCGTCAGAAAATGGGAGCCCATAGAACAAGGGTCTTTGTCCCAGGATTCAGGGCTAATCCGCGGGTCGGTGGGGATTGGAACCCTCATCCCTGTGACTGCAGGGCCTGAGCTCCACCTGGGCTCGCCCAAAATGCCAGGCAGGGGAGAGGACTCCTGCCGGGGGAGGCAGGGTCAGAGGTCAGGGAGCAAGAGGAGAAACAGTCCTGGGGAAGCTGACCCCAGAGAGACAGCCTGAAGGACTCCAGGCCCCAGCTGGGACGGACTCTGCAATTCGCTGGGGAAGAGGCCGAGTGTCCAGCGTTCCGTCAGTGCCTCAGTAGCTGAAATGAGAAGCATCCAGGCCTCCCAGGTCCCCAGCAAAGGGGCTGCTGCCAACAGGACTAACACCCCTCCCCAAAGGCTGCCACCAGCTAGCACCCACCCACGCAAGGAGAGCTACCCACGCACGCCCCGCACGACACTCAGGGCGCCGTGCTGTGGTCATACACAGCGATCACCGGTAACAGAGTCTCAGGTAACAGAGACACCCCTCCCCTGAGCGCCTCCACCCGAGGCACCTGCACCTGTGGCTCCTCGCACTGGGTGGGGCCTCCACATGGTCCCAGTCACGGGTCTGGTGCTCGTCCTTCCAACACCTGGTGCACAGCCAGCGCCTCCGATGCTCAGGCCCTCCTTCCTGTGAGATCTGGGAGAGCAGCCAGGGCCGAACCCAGAGCTGCCTGGAAAGAGGGCGCCCGCACCCTGCAGGAGGCCGGGCAGCATGCCTCGCGTGACACAAGTGCCTGGGAGCCTGACCAAACCCCTCGTGGCAGACATCGTCGGGTCGAAGCCACAGAGGTGGGCAGCCACTGACCTGGTCTCTGCTGGGGTGATGCGCCTGGCAGGGCCTTGCCTAGTCACCAGAGAAGATTCCAGAGGGAGTAAGGCTGATTCTCGTGGCAGGAGGGAAAGGCACTCATGAATCAGCCGCCATCCGTTTGGGGAGCAGTGAACCCCAATCACAGGAAGCCAGATGAGCACAAGGGGCCCTGGGGTTCCAGAACGGTCCAGACAGGGCACTGGCCTCAGTCCAGGAGGAGAACGGGGTGTTCTCACAGTCCCCCAGGAAGTGACCCCCATCTGGGGAGGCAAGAAGGGCCTGT